CTGATCGTTCATAAGAATGGCCATACTGGGTCAGACCAAAGGTCCATCTAGTCCAGTACCATGTCTTCTGACAGTGGGAGGGAATGAGAAGAACAAGTAATAATCAAGTGATCCATCCCCTGTTGCCCATTCCCAGCTTCTGGCAAACAGAGGCTTAGGATCATAGAATCATAGAATATTAGGGTTGGAAGGGACCTCAGGAGGTCATCTAGTCCAACCCCCTGCTCAAAGCAGGACCAATCCCCAACTAAATCATTAGGGACACCATCCCTGCCCATGCTGGCTAATAGCCATTGATGGACCTATCCCCTGTGAATTTATCTTGTTCTGTTATAGTCTGGGCCTTCACAACAACCTCTGGCAAAGAGTTGCACAGGTTCACTGTGCGTTGTGTGAAGAAATACTTCCTTCTGTTTATTTTAAACCTGCCTATTAATTTCATTTGGTGACCCCTAGTTCCTGTGTTATGAGAAGGAGTAAATAACACTTCCCTATTTACTTTCTCCACACCAGTCATGATTTTATAGACCTCTGTCATATCTCCCCCTTAGTTGTCTTTTTTCCAAGCTGAAAAGTCCCACTCTTATTAATCTATTCTCATACAGAAGCCATTCCATACCCCTAATCATTTTTGTTGCCCTATTCTGAACCTTTTCCAATTCCAAAATATCTTTTTTGAGATGGGGCGACCACATCTGCACGCAGTATTCAACATGTGGGCATACCATGGATTTATATAGAGGCAATATGATAGTTTCTGTCTTATTATCTATCCCCTTCTTAATGATTCCCAACATCCTGTTTGCTTTTTTGACTGCCGCTGCACATTGAGTGAATATTTTCAGAGAACTATCCACAATGACTCCAAGATCTCTCTCTTGAGTGGTAAACATGACACACTTTAATGGATTAAAAGTTGGCTAACTGGTAGGTCTCAAAATTTAGCTGTAAATGGGGAATCATCATCAAACAGGTGTGTTCCCTGTGGGGTCCTGCAGGGACTGGATCTTGGCCCTACGCTATATAACATTTTTATCAATGACCTGGAGAAAACATAAAATCACTGATAAAGTTTGCAGGTGATACAAAAATTGGGGGAGTGTTTATAAATGAAGAGGACAGGTCACTGATTCAGAGCTATCTGGATCACTTGATAAGCTTGGCAGAAGCAAACATTATGTATTTTAACATGGATAAATGTAAATGTGAACATCTGGAAACAAAGAATGCAAGCCATACTTACAGGATGTGGGACTCTGCCCTGGGAAGCAGTGACTCTGAAAAAGATTTGGGGGTCGTAGTGGATAATCAGCTGAACGTGAGCTCCCAACGTGACGCTATGGCCAAAAGAGCTAATGTGATCCTGGGAGGCATAAACGGGAATCTCGTGTAGGAGCAGAGAGGTTATTGTACCTCTGCATTTGGCACTGGTGCGACCTGTGCTTGAATACTGTGTCCAGCTCTGGTGCCCACAATGTTGATGTTGATGGCCACAATTAAGGATATTAATGAAATGGAGAAAGATCAGAGAAGAGCCATGAGAATGAATAAGGGATTAGAAAATATGCCTTATAGTGCTAGATTCAAAAGGCTGAATCTATTTATCTTAACAAAGAGAAGGCTAAGGGGGGACTTGATTACAATGTATAAGTATCTACATGGGGAACAAATATTTAATAATGGGCTGTTCAGTCTATCAGAGAAAGTTATAATATGATCCAATGACTGGAAGTTGAAGCTAGACTAATTCAGACTGGAAATCAGGTGTACATTTTTAATAGTGAGGGTAATTAACCACTGGAACAATTTACCAAGGGTCATTGTGGATCCTCTATCACTGACAATTTTTAAATCAAGACTGGATGTTTCTCTAAAAGCTTTGCTCTAGGAATTATTTGGGGGATCTAATTTGGATATAGATAGAGCCCTCTTTAATATTTTTAATGAAGTAAATACTAATGGAAACTGCGTGATCATGGGAGACTTTAACTTCCCAGATATAGACTGGAGGACGAGTGCTAGTAATAATAATAGGGCTCAGATTTTCCTAGATGTGATAGTTGATGGATTCCTTCATCAAGTAGTTGCTGAACCGACTAGAGGGGATGCCATTTTAGATTTGGTTTTGGTGAGTAGTGAGGACCTCATAGAAGAAATGGTTGTAGGGGACAATCTTGTTCAAGTGATCATGAGCTAATTCAGTTCAAACTGAATGGAAGGATTAACAAAAATAAATCTGCAACTAGGATTTTTGATTTCAAAAGGGCTGACTTTCAAAAATTAAGGAAATTAGTTAGGGAAGTGGATTGGACTGAAGAACTTATGGATCTAAAGGCAGAGGAGGCCTGGGATTACCTTAAATCAAAGCTGCAGAAGCTATCGGAAGCCTGCATCCCAAGAAAGGGGAAAAAATTCATAGGCAGGAGTTGTAAACCAAGCTGGATGAGCAAGCATCTAAGAGAGGTGATTAAGAAAAAGCAGAAAGCCTACAAGGAGTGGAAGATGGGAGGGATCAGCAAGGAAAGCTACCTTATTGAGGTCAGAATATGTAGGGATAAAGTGAGAAAGGCTAAAAGTCAAGTAGAGTTGGACCTTGCAAAGGGAATTAAAACCAATAGTAAAAGGTTCTATAGCCATATAAATAAGAAGAAAACAAAGAAAGAAGAAGTGGGACCGCTAAACACTGAGGATGGAGTGGAGGTCAAGGATAATCTAGGCATGGCCCAATATCTAAACAAATACTTTGCCTCAGTCTTTAAAAAAGCTAAAGAGGATCTTAGGGATAATGGTAGCATGACAAATGGGAATGAGGATATGGAGGTAGATATTACCATATCTGAGGTAGAAGCGAAACTCAAACAGCTTACTGGGACTAAATCGGGGGGCCCAGGTAATCTTCATCCAAGAATATTAAAGGAATTGGCACTTGAAATTGCAAGCCCATTAGCAAGAATTTTTAATGAATCTGTAAACTCAGGGGTTGTACCGTATGACTGGAGAATTGCTAACATGGTTCCTATTTTTAAGAAGGGAAAAAAAAGTGATCTGGGAAACTACAGGCCTGCTAGTTTGACATCTGTAGTATGCAAGGTCTTGGAAAAAAATTTTAAGGAGAAAGTAGTTAAGGACATTGAAGTCAATGGTAAATGGGACAAAATACAACATGGTTTTACAAAAGGTATATGGTGCCAAACCAACCTGATCTCCTTCTTTGAGAAAGTAACAGATTTTTTAGACAAAGGAAACGCAGTGGGTCTAGTTTACCTAGATTTCAGTAAGGCGTTTGATATGGTGCCACATGAGGAATTATTAGTTAAATTGGAAAAGATGGGGATCAATATGAAAATTGAAAGGTGGATAAGGAATTGGTTAACAGGGAGACTGCAGCGGGTCATACTGACAGGTGAACTGTCAGGCTGGAGGGAGGTTACCAGTGGAGTTCCTCAGGGATCGGTTTTGGGACCAATCTTACTTAATCTTTTTATTACTGATCTCAGCACAAAAAGTGGGAACGTGCTAATAAAGTTTGCGGGAGGTATTGCCAATTTGGAGAGAGACCGGGATATCCTACAGGAAGATTTGGATGACCTTGTAAACTGGAGTAATAGTAATAGGATGAAATTTAATAGTGAGAAGTGAAAGGTCATGCATTTAGGGATTAATAACAAGAATTTTAGTTATAAGCTGGGGGCGCATCAATTAGAAGTAACGGAGGAGGAGAAGGACCTTGGAGTATTGGTTGATCACAGGATGACTATGAGCCACCAATGTGATATGGCCGTGAAAAAAGCTAATGCGGTCTTGGGATGCATCAGGCGAGATATTTCCAGTAGAGATAAGGAGGTTTTAGCACTGGTGAGATCTCATCTGGAATACTGTGTGCAGTTCTGGTCTCCTATGTTTAAGAAGGATGAATTCAAACTGGAACAGGTACAGAGAAGGGCTACTAGGATGATCCGAGGAATGGAAAACCTGTCTTATGAAAGGAGACTCAAGGAGCTTGGCTTGTTTAGCCTAACTAAAAGAAGGTTGAGGGGAGATATGATTGCTCTCTATAAATATATCAGAGGGATAAATACTGGAGAGGGAGAGGAATTATTTAAGCTCAGTACCAATGTGGACACAAGAACAAATGGATATAAACTGGTCATTGGGAAGTTTAGACTTGAAATTAGACGAAGGTTTCTAACCATCAGAGGAGTGAAGTTCTGGAACAGCCTTCCAAGGGAAGCAGTGGGGGCAAAAGACCTATCTGGCTTCAAGATTAAACTCTATAAGTTTATGGAGGAGATGGTATGATGGGATAACATGATTTTGGCAATTAACTGATCTTTAAATATTCATGGTAAATAGGCCCAATGGCCTGTGATGGGATGTTAGATGGGGTGGGATCTGAGTTACTACAGAGAATTCTTTCCTGGGTATCTGGATGGTGAATCTTGCCCATATGCTCAGGGTTTAGCTGATTGCCATATTTGGGGTTGGGAAGGAATATTCCTCCAGGGCAGATTGGAAGAGGCTTTTTCACCTTCCTCTGCAGCATGGGGCACGGGTCACTTGCCCGAGGATTCTCTGCTCCTTGAAGTCTTTATAGCCAAGCTGGATGGAAAATCTCTCTCCCAGCTACAGGTTCCTGCAGTCCCCTAGTGAACAGACTTGCTCCCTGGGTATTACACTGACCCTGCTCTCTCCAGGATCAAGCCATGGATGAGTTTCTATTCAGCATGTCCTTGCGCAGGGTCATGCCTGGCTGGGAAGCACTGAGCTAGGCGAGCAGGACAGGCAGAGGGCACTTCCTGCGGGTCAGTCCCTGGGGACAAGGGTTGTACATAAAGCCATTTTAATGAAAGACTCTCAAAGACAAACCATGTAGCAAATGCAACCTTTATTGGCAGCAGGGCGGACTAGCCCAATTGTCACAAGTCCCACTGGGTCAGATCCTCCATGCACAACAGCCAAGCTGGCAACCCCCTGGGATGGATACCTGAGAGGCACAGACCCATCATAGGAATTAACAGAGATCAGGGCTGCTGCCCGGGCCCCTCAGCAAATCATCTGGTCGCGACGCCTCACTAGGCAGCAGCAGCACTAGGCAGACCCAGAGCATTTTCCTCCTTCTCTGCTCTGGCTTGTCAGTCCCAATGCAGAGGGCATCAGCCAGGGACAAGCTTCATTCCATGCCCTACATGCCAAGCAGGGGAGTGAAGGGTTAACGAGGCAGTCAGGCTCCCCGAGGCTGGGCCAGGGGATGGGCTGGGGTCTCTCGCAGGTCACAGGTGGGGAACATTTTCATAAATGTCATTGGCGGGTAGGGATCCCCCTTCTGGAGACCTCACTCCTGCGGCTGACTCCCAGGTGGGCTTGGGGTCCGCAAGCACAGAGTAGCTGACATAGTATTCCTCCTGGAAAGGGCACATGGACAGTGAGTGAGGTGACAGAGGCAGACAAAGGTCAGAGAGAGCAGCAGGGAGGGAGCAGCAGAACAGGGGGTGTTGCACTTACGTTGTCCCTTGACAGAATTCCCTTGGGTTTATCTGCAAGAGAAACAGGAGGGGATCAGGACTAGGCATTAACTTTCACCCCTTGAGCCCCCATCACCAGCAGTCCAGCCCCTCAGTGACCAGCCCCAGCTGTGGGATGGGTGTGAGACACAAAACTGAGGTGCTCGGGATCCCAGGACTCTGCCCCCTGGCACTGGCCAGATCCCAGCCTGGGGAGTTACATCCACCAACATAAATGCTAAGCAGGGTGAACCTGTTCAAGATGTCAGAGCCGTGCACTGCCAGCCCACCACCTGCTTCTGGAACCAAGTTCTGAGCAAGCCTTTGAAGGGTCTCTAAAGCCGAGATCACTTTTCCCATTCTTCCCATCCATCCAGCGGTTCACAGTCATGCTGGAAGGGCATAATGAGTGGGATCCCACAGGGATCAGTTCTGGGTCTGGTTCTGTTCCATATCTTCATAAATGATTTAGATAATGGCATAGAGACTACACTTATAAAGTTTGCAGATGATACCAAGCTGGGAGGGGTTGCAAGTGCTTTGGGGGATAGGATTAAACTGCAGACTGATCTGGACAAACTGGAGAAATGGTCTGAAGTAAATAGGATGAAATTCAATAAGGACAAATGCAAAGTACTCCACTTAGGAAAGAACAATCAGTTGCACACACACAAAATGGGAAATGACTGCCTAGGAAGGAGTGCTGCAGAAAGGGATCTGGGGGTCATAGTGGACCACAAGCTAAATATGAGTCAATAGTGTAAAGCTGTTGCAAAAAAAAGCAAACATCCTTCTGGGATGTATTAGCAGGAATGTTGTAAGCAAGACACGAGAAGTAATTCTTCCACTCTACTCCGCGATGATTAGGCCTCAACCGGAGTATTGTGTCCAGTTCTGGGCACCACATTTCAGGAAAGATGTGGACAAATTGGAGAAAGTCCAGAGAAGGGCAACAAAAATGATTAAAGGTCTAGAAAACATGACCTATGAGGGAAGATTGAAAAAACTGGGTTTGTTTAGTCTGGAAAAGAGAAGACTGAGAGGGGACATGAGAACAGTTTTCAAGTATGTAAAAGGTTGTCACAGGAGGAGGGAGAAAAATTGTTTTTCTTAAGCTCTGAGGACAGAACAAGAAGTAATGAGCTTAAATTGCAGCAAGGGAGGTTTAGGTTGGACATTAGGAAAAACTTCCAAATTGTCAGGGTGGTTAAGCACTGGAATAAATTGTCCCGGGAGATTGTGGAATCTCCACCATTGGAGATTTTTAAGAGCAGGTTAGACAAACACCTGTCAAGGATGGTCTAGATAATACTTAGTCCTGCCATGAGTGCCCGGGACTCAACTAGATGACCTCTCAAGGTCCCTTCCAGCCCTATGATTCTATTCCTCATGTTTGCGTTTGCCTCGGTGCTTCTAGATTCTGATGGGAAATGGAGACACAGGAGCCAAAACGCCAAAGGAAACACCACTCCCACAGTATTCCAGGCCTGAGCCGGATGCCAGGAGAGCCAGAAACCTCAGGAGAAATTTCCACCCAACAGATTCAGAAAAGCATCCCAATTCCAGCCCGTGAGATTCACCCAGCTCAGTATTTCCTGCTGGTTTAAAGGGACATGTTCAACTTGCAAATCACATTTATCTGCTGGTTTTGTAGTTATGACATTATGAGTAACACCTGAGATGACTGAAACTGTAAGAAGTTAGTGTAGAGAAAGTACTTTTTTCCATTTTTTGTGTTTATTTTATCATTTGACAGTGTGATACTCTGGCTACATGGGCTGTGTCCCCCCTACTAATGCCTCCTCCACACAGAGGACAAGAGCCTACTACTGCTACCAGCTTATGGACTTACTCTTTTAGGTCAAATGATAGAGGCCCATGCTTTTACTGCTAAAAGTCTCAGGTTCAAACTACACTGATGAGCCATGACTGGGGTTACTCAAACAGTAATTTCCTTGAACAATCAGTCAAGCACAGAAGAAAATGACTAACTAAGCAGACCCCCTTTAACATCAACAGGGGAGCACAGAATCCCTCTTCCTTTCGACTCGGGATGCACTGTTTAAAGGGGGCTCTCCCCCAAAACAGAATTGTTTGAAATTAGTCAATTTAAAAAAATTCAAGTTGACAGCGTCCCTTTAAGTGACTCGGATGTGGTATTCCCCGGCTTCCTGTCTTTCACTGTCCTGCCCTGTCGCTGTGCCATTTACACAGCTAGCACTACTCCCAAGGGGATGGATTTCTAGGGTGGGTGGAGAGAAGTGATCTGTACGGGTGAAATACACCCTGTGTTGCCTTTTAGGTTGTAAATGCGACTTGGGGTGCCCAAGCCGTGTGTGGAGGGAATTCCTCCCTCAAGGAACACATCCCTGCTGATCATCTGCTGTGTTCATTCTGCCCCTGTACACACACAGACAGAAGTCAGTGGCACAATCTAGACAACCAGATTCCAGGATTGTTTCTGTGTCACTCTGAAGCCTCAAGTGTCTGTTGAGTCAGAGTGAGGCCACGGAAACAGCTACAAGCAGGAGCAAGAGCTCTTTGTTCTTCAGGATTTCACCAGGGTCAAATCACTGCAAATCACAGTCTGTTACCGTCCATTTTTCAGTTCTCAGCCACTTCAGGCTTTTTACACTTTACGAATTACACCTGTATACCTGCACGGGCTTTCACCTGGGACCAGTTAATTGGCCTGCAGAGTCGCAGAGCAAGTGAGTGAAACGTTAGCTGCATCTGCCTGTCTCATCCCTTACATCTCTATTAAATCCTTTCTTGCCTCTTGAGGCAAGACACCGTCTTGTTCCACTCACCCACACTTCTTTTCTTGATGTTGACAACTGTATACTCCACATCTCCACTCTCCGGCTCCAGGGGACACACTGTGAAAACAAAGCCACATCTCACGTATGCCTTGTGCCCCTAGAGCAAGCGCCGGCACTAGGCACCATCTGCTCTTCCTGCAGCTGCTATAGTGTGCCTGCTGCCCACTCCCGGAGGGCATCCCAGCAGCACGCCGACTTGCCACATTTCATTGGGATCCGACCAGGCTACAGCCACCTGGTGCCAGGTTGGAGCCAGCTCCCTGAAATGGTGCAAACTGTCTTCCCACCACAGCCCCATGCCAGGGATTGTGGGATAGGTACTCAGTAGGCGTTGCGATTGAAAGGATGGCATTAGTGGGGACGTGCAACGGCTCAGCATGACCCAGCATGGACACACTGAGCTGTTTGCACCCAAACGGGCTCAGTTCCAAGGGGTCGGCTCAGTTCTCTGGCGCTAAGGGTTCTCAGCCAGGGACGCGCTCATTGCTCACTGGATTGCGGGGCAGGGTCCCAGCTGGGAGGGATCGGGGCTCCGAGGGGCCCAGTATGGAAATGGAGACCCCAGCCTGGGGAAGGCAGAGAATGCTGCTCTAGTGCAGACGAGGCCAACAAGGCCCTGGTATTAACCACACACTGGTATTAACCGTGGCTCCCTCGGAACAGCGGCCGGGGTCACAGAGCCATGTCTGACCAGTGCCTCCCAGCGGGGCCACAGGCTGTGTGGGACAACGGCAGAGATAGCTGCACAGCCATAGCACCAGGGCAGCTCTCCACAGCCTTGGCACCCCGTGCCCACGCCTCGGGGCAGGGGCACCGCCTCCTCTCTCTGGTGTCGGCCACAAGTAGGCCTCCAGCAGCATCATGTCTCCGGATTATTGCCCCTTACCATTGCCGTAAGATGGCTCCTCAGCATGGAGGCCCAAGCTCCCCAGTGGAGGAAGCCCCTGGCCAGGGGGTTCATGCTGGGCTGGGAGCCGTGTGTCCCTGGGTATAGGAAGACACAGTGAACACAGTGGAACAGGGCAGACATAGACCAGAGAGAGGAAGAGACGGCACGAGATGGAGAAGGCACGAAAACGCAGAGGGCCAGAGCTTGTACACACCGAGGGCAAGGCCAGGGCTTGAGTGTAATGAGAATGCAGCCCTGAACATTTCCAGGGGAAGAGGGGGAGGGGAGAGGGGTCCTGCGACTTTTGGATCCTGGGCCCTCCCCATCCTATCACTAAATGTGACTGTTGTATGAATCTAGTGTCAGAAATGCACCTGGCCCTCTGTGGCCACCCCATTCCTGACAGGCAAAAACCCTGAATAAGCCCTGCCAACTGAGCCATGCCCCTTTCGTAGAATCACAGAATATTAGGACTGGAAGAGACCTCAGGAGGTCATCTGGTCCAATCCCCTGCTCAAAGCAGGACCAACGCCAACTAACTTTGTAGAACCACATCCTTAATAAAGGCATATTGGCGTTCTTGGCTCCTCCCCTGCTGGGATTCTGTGCTGTAACCCCTTTTTTCTGGGACGGGGTCCTCTCCTGAGTGCCACAGGATTCTGGGGATGGATGAACAGACATCAGCCTGCTGGCCTCTGATCAGCCAGAGGTGCAGATTGTCTCGGAACAGGCAGAGAAGAGCTGTTTCCAAGCAATATGCTCCTGTGGAAACAGATATTTTGACTCCAAGACATAATCATAGAATCATAGAAGATCAGGGTTGGAAGAGACCTAAGGAGGTCATCCAGTCCAACTCCCTGCTCAAAGCAGGACCAACCCCAACTAAATCATCCCAGCCTGGGCTTTGTCAAGCCAAGCCTTAAAAACTCTAAGAATCGAGATTCCACCACCTTCCTAGGCAATCTACCAGACCACATGTTGTTGCTGCCCACCCTGTGACGAAGGTTACCGCTGGAAGCTGAGAACAGTGGAGAGGCTAGGAAAATCCAAGGAGCCAGCTTCAGTAATGAAAAACTGGTTCTTACATCGCATAACAAGCAGGCGGTGAGCGTGCTGTCTCCAACCGCTGAACAAGTGGGGACCCAAATATTCAGGAGCAATCTGTCACTTTGATGCCTCCCCTTTTGCCTCAAGGTGAGTCAAGTTGGGTACAAAAATATCATAGAATCAGAAATGTCAGGCTGAAGGGACCTTGAGAGGTCAACTACAGTCCACCACCCTGAGGCAGGACTAAGGAAACTAGACCATCCCTGGTAAGTGCTTGTCCAACCTGTTCTTAAACCTCCCAGAGTTTAACTCCCCTTAGAGATAGAAAAGTTGTCCTCGTATCGAAGCCAAATTTCTCTTGCTGCAGATTAAGTCCATTACATCTTGTTCTGCCTTCAGTGGCCATGGAGAACAATTGACCACTGTCCTCTTTATAACAGCCCTTAACATATATAAAGACTGATCTTTTCGGTCTTCTTTTTTCAAGCCTATACATGCCTAGTTTTTCTAACCTTTCCTCATAGGCCAGGTTTCTTGCTGTCCTCTGAACTCTCTCAATTTATCCATATCTTTCTTAAAGAATGGCACTCAAAATTGGACCCAGTACTTCATCTGAGGCCTCACCAGTGCTGAGTAAAGTGGGACAGTTACCTCACGTGTTTTGCATGCAACACTCCTGTTAATACCTCCCAGAATGAGATTTGCCATTTTTGCAAGGCATCACACTGTTGACACATTTAATTTGTGATCCTCTACAACCCCCAGATGCTTTTCAGGAGTTCTACTGCCTAGCAAGTTATTCCCCAGCCCTGGAGCACCCACTGAGTCGGTGCCTATGTTGGCCAAGATGGTCAGGGGTGCAACCCTATGCTCTGGATGTCCCTAGCTTCTGACTGTCAGAAGCTGGGACTGGACGATAGGGGTTGGATCACTCAATAACTGCCCTGTTCTATTCATTCCTTCTGGGGCACCTGGCATTGGCCACTGTCGGAAGACAGGATATTGGGCTAGATGGGCCATTGGTCTGACCCAGTATGACTGTTCTTATGTTCTATTGCTTCCCCCCATCAACTAGGCCAATAACTCTTTCAAAGAAGGAAATTAGGTTGGTATGGCATGACTTGTTCTTGACAAATCCACATTGGCTATTACTTATTATCCTTTTGTCTTCTAAGTTCTTACAGATTGGTTGTTTAATCATTTGTTCCAGTATCTTTCCAGGTATCGAAGTTAGGCTGATAGGTTTATAATTCCCCGGGTCCTCTTTGCTCCCTCTTTTAAAGGTAGGTGCCATGTTTGCCTTTCTCTGCTGCCCTATCCCTTGTGTGTCCTTCTGCACCAGCACAGTGTGGCTGTAAAACGCTGCTGCTCTGATGTGATGGCACTTTACACCCACATTGCACTGGGATCAATGACCCACAAGGTGCAAGGCAACGGAGAATCGGGCCCCAAAGCTTTCAGGTGGACGTGCTATATAGAGTCAGGTCCAGAGAGCCCACATAAAAAGGAGGGGAAGCAGCCTGGAGAGCCAAGAGCTGAAACCAATGGGTCACTTAATAATTAAATCATGACCCATTTAAATCAAAGCAACACTGAACCCATCCTTTCCCCTGCCCCAAACCCCAACATGCTTCACCCCGTCTGTGCCTGACTCACCTCTCCGGGGCATTGAAAACCATTCCTTCTGCAAAGCAAGTGAGAAAAAGGTGCATTAATCTCTCCAGACGTGTCACCTTGGCCATCAGGTCTGGGTCACTCTCAGGGGGAGTGAATGCAAGGCAGGGGGCATGGGTAATTCATTACAGGAGACAAGACACCAAATGTGACGGAAGGGATCAGCCTTTTCCCATTCAGGAGCCTCCTGGGCTAAAGCTGTGGGATGGGTTTGGCAAAAGGCCTAAATTACAGCAGAGCAAGCGTGGGGACAAAGGTCTAGAATTCATGGTGTGAATTTGGCAGGAAGACGGAATCCGCCCTGGCTCTGACCATTTCAAGCTCCCTTTCCCCGGGAGCGGCTGCATGGCCGAGACTCCCAGAGAAACTCAGAAACGGTTGTGAGTTTCCGAGCACCCGATGGATTGTGATAGCCGCACGCTGTGGAAGGAGCCACACACCTGCTTTCTTCCAGCACTTGAAGTAGAACACCAGAGCCGCAGCGACACCCATCAGGAACAGGAAGGAGACAGTCACAGGCACAGCCACCCGGGGGCTTGCGTGCTCTGGAGAAGACAAAGGGAACATGCCCAGATAAACACAGTGCTCCTGGAGAAGAGACTTCCTGACAGAAACCAACTGAGCCTGTTGAACCCCACCTCTGCCAGTGACCACAGGGCGCAGGGCCCAGTCCAATGGGCCAGGCCTCAGACCGGGAGCCAGGCACTTGAGTTCTCTTCAATTCTGCCTCTGATTCACTGTGTGGCCTTGGGCAGGTCCTGTCCCCATTCTGTGCCTCAGTTTCCCCATCTATATAAATCATAGATTTCAAAGCCAGATGGGGCCTCTGTGATCAAGTCTGACTTCGTGTACAGCACAGGCCCTTGAACCCCCAAAATAATTCCCATTTGAACGAGAGCATGGGGCCAGTGACCATGATCTGCTCTTTGGGATCTAGCAATGAGAAGCTCTGTTCTGGTCACTATTGTAAGGATCATCGGAGAGAACAGGGCCACCACCAACAATCAGAGCCCTTCCATTTCTGGGTAAGGACTAAGGTGCAGGAGGCTCAGATTTTAATCTCTGCCTCTGTAGCTTTGGTTCTGGGTCAGATCCAAATCCAGCTTCCTTCCATTCCAGTGTAGCTGGAATCTCATGGGAACAGCTGATCTTGTGAGAGCTCTGCAGCCTGTGTCTAAGTCTGCACGAGGCGAGCCCATCTGGTTTTGGTGTCATTGTGATGGCCACCATCTTGGCCGACACACCAGGCATTGGACTGGGAACCTCCAGAGCTGAGAGCAGGAGCTGCTATACCTTGAGCCAAGCCTCTCTAGCAGGAGCTGTACTGGACCCAGCTCCTCTGTGGACCAGGCCCAGAGGGGACACGTAACACACACTGACCAGGGGGTTCCCCCTGGACATCCCATCCTGATGGGCAGCCCCGCCGGGGTCTGGAATCTGAATTACAAACCTGAAAGTGAACTGGACCTGAGTCTAGATCCCAGCCTGGCCTCTCTCTCCCCTGTCCCTGAGCCACATTTTACAGGTACCTTTCACGGCGATGGCCAGGATCTCGCTGGGGGCCTGGAAGACTCTCTGGGGGCTGAGCTGGTTGCTGGCAATGCACTGGTAATTCCCTCCATGGCCCAGCTGTATAGACCCGAAATGCAGCGTGTTCCCCACAGCCGTGGGCAGGCCAAGCCCCGAGACTGCAGCCAGCTCCTCAGCGTTGTGAAGCCACTTGAACAGGGGGGCGGTGCCGGACTCCACCGAGCAGCTGAGATTCAGGCTTTCTCCAGCCATGACCTCTGGCCCCATGCGATCCGCGATGATGGTGGCCCCGGACACGGGCACTGCAAGCACAAGGGAGACGGCCTGAGAGCAAGGCTGGGGGGTGGAGAGATGCTCCGTCACAGACACACCAGAAAGGGGTAACCCAGGCTGGGCCACACAGCAGAGAACAGGCTCCAGAGATAGTGGTGTCTGGACCTTGTCAACCCAAGGGGGCTCCCTAACCACAATGTGAGGATCGAGAGCAGAGTCCCGCAGCCCAGCGAGCCCATCCTGCCCACCACACAGAAGCACCAGGGCAGCACTGAGGAACCCCTACGTGTGGGAGGCAGGATGCTGCCATGTCCCGCTCCCCACAGTCACCACCGCAGCTCGTCCCACCATCACCCTGGTCTACAGGCAGAGATCCCGCCCTCCCACCCCCCCAGAGAGAGCATGTGGAGCCGGCGTACCGAGCACAGAGAGGTGGAAGGAGGCGCTGCGCTGGGGGCCACTGGCCATGCCATTATCAGCCTCGCAGAAGTAGGTCCCAGAATCCCGCTCAGACGTCACATTCAGAGCGAGGGATCCCGGCCCTTGGGAACTGACCGTCCTGTTCCCCAGAGCAGCCCCCTCGTGATGAAACTGATAGACGATGGGGGCCGAGCCGCGGGGTGACTCGCACCGGATCTCCACCACGTCCCCGATGGCGGCCCAGGCACTGGCCGCGCTGACGGTCAGGTGAGGCAGGGACACTGGAACTGACAGAGAATCGGGGCAGGTCAGGGCTCAGCCTGTACCTCAGGTTGCTGAGAGGAGGGGCGGGGAATTCACTAGGATTAGGAGCTCTCTGGGCGAGAGCATCTCCTGGCTCTGTGTCTGTGTAGTGCCCAGCGCCGTGGGCCGGGGACCTGGCTGGGCTTCTTGGCACTGCCCTGTACAGATATCAGGTCATTCGAAGGGAAGGACCATCGTGTTCTGAGGACCTGGCACTTCGGCCCATTTACCCCTCGTGTCACTGAGGCAGCAGGCTGCTCTAGGGTTGCCAACTTTCTAATCACACAAAACCAAACACCCAAGCCCTGCCCCTTCCCTGAGGCCCGCCCCCCGCCCCTTCCCTGAGGTTCTGCCCCCCACTCACTACATTCCCCCTCCCTCAGTGGCTCGCTATCCCCCACCCTCACTGGTTGGGGTGCAGAGGGACGTGAGGGCTCTATCTGGGGGTGTGGGCTCTGGGCTGGGGCTGAGGGGTTCAGGGTGTGGGAGGGGGCTGCAGGTTGAGGCAGGGGGTTGGGGTGCAGAGGGAAGTGAGGGCTCCATATGGGGGTGCGGGCTCTGGGGTGGGGCCGGAGATGAGGGGCTTGGGGTGCAGGAGGGGACTCCAAGCTGGGGGTTGGGGCAGAGGGATTCAGAGTGTGGAGGAGGTCAGGGCTGTGGGCTAGGGGTGCAGGCTCTGGGGTGGGGCTGGGATGAGGGGTTTGGGATGCAGGGGGGGGCTCCGGGTTGGATGGGGGCTCAGGGCTGGGGCAGGGGGTTGGGGTGTGGGGCTGGGGCACAGGCTTCCCTCCGGTAGCTCCCAGTCAGCGGCGCCGCTGGGCGGGGCTAAGGCAGGCTTCCTGCCTGTCCTGATTCTGCGCTGTGCCCAGGAAGCAGCCAGTTCCCAGGCGGAGGTGTGGCAAGTGGCTCTGCACGCTGCTCTCACCCACGGGCACTGCCCCCACATCTCCCATTGGCTGCAGGTTCCCGCGGGAGTGCAGAGCCAGTGCTCAGGGCAGGGACAGCGCGCAGAGCCCGGTGCCCCTCCCGCCTAGGAGCCGGACCTGCTGGCAGGGGCGAAACGCGGAGGCCCAGCCAGGCCCAGCCACCTCCCCAGCCAGCTGCGATCCCACTGGGCACAAGCGTACCCCACACCCACCAGCTTGGCGCTCTGGCCCCTCTAGTGGTGTCTGGGCCACGCCTAGTGGTGGCTGAGCCTGCTACAGCCGTGGCTGCCGAGCTGGGGCTTTCACCTCAGACAGGAGAGGCTTGCACATTTAGAGCCCAATCCCCAGTTCTCCCGGTTGCCAGCAGCCCACCCGAGGGCGCAGTGTAACATGCCCCATCTCTGCAGGGTGGGGAGGCTGGAAGTCGGCAGAGGTACCCCCCTGGGTCCGTGTGACGGGCCTCTCTGCCCTGTGGGGGAGTTTGACAAAAGTATTTCAACCAGCTCCATTCACAGCCTCGTGCGGAGGCCACATCCCTCCCTAGGGCTTCCAGCTGCTACAGCCATGGGCCTCGCCCCTCTCAGCAGGCCCAAGCCAGCAACAGTATCCCCCCAATGCCCCTCTGCTGACCTTATGCCTAAGGAGAGTCTCTCATGCTCACCCGGGCAGGGGTAAAGCCCCTGTCACCCCATCACTCAGCTGGGACCTGGCTCACCCTTCACAGCAACTTTCACCCCTGGGCTTGGTGCTGGGGCATTGCCGTTGGAGGCCATGCAGTAATACTCCCCCGTGTCGGTCTCCGTGGCTGCAGGGATCTCATAGACCAGCCTCTGTGAGACCTGAGTCTCTGTCCTCAGAGCCTGACTGGAGCCCTTCCGGTGCCAGGAGAAGGTGATTGGCCCCGTGCCCAGAGACACAGAGCAGTTCAGCACCAGCCGCTCCCCTTCCATCACCTGCCCCCCGAGGGGCTGGACCTCCATGGAGACTCGGGACACTGGGATTCCTGTGGGAGAGGGGGACAAAGGAGGGCAGGACGTGCTGCGGTGACCCAAGGGATGAGCTCGGTGCCATCTGGACAGATCAGCACTTCTGCCCCCAGGTAAGGATGGGGGTCCTGTGTGTAGAGCATTGATTTGGGGAGGGGACAGAATGCAGGGCCCAGGCCCACAACACTATGGGTCATGGGCCCACATGAAGTGTGTGGTAAATCTGCTCAGGTTTGCAAAGGCTAGTGTATATATTGCAAATGTTAGTGCAAAGGCTCGTCTTGAGCAGTGAAAGACAGTATATTCCTGAGGTACAAGGCTGGGAGCTGGGGGGATTTGGCTGGTGCCTTACTCTGTGTGATTCATGAGTGGCTCTGGGAGCATTCATGCAATCTAGTTTGGTGCGAGGCTCCACATGTTGTTGTGCTGAGTGATCACAGCACCTGAAGGGGTTTGCTGCTTGTCACTAGCAAAGCATTGTGAGAGACAGCCTAGGCTGGAGAGTTAGGGGGCTCAGTGGTCCCACAGTTCCAGGCTGCACCCTGGGGATCCCGTCACAGTCAGAACCTGCAGCTGGGGGATAATCTGCCCTCATAGCAGGACCCAGCCTGGTCGCTGATAGTCAAATCATCTTGAGCCCTGACACATGAGGGTTAATCTGCCTGCCAAAAACATGCCCAGATCCACTTTGCACCGTCAGTCAGTCTAGGCTCTGCCGTGATCCTGCTCTCACTGTGGCAAGGGGAGTTTTTCCATTGACTCCAATGGGAGAAAAACCAGGCTCTTTATCTGGGTCAGTCCCTCCTATCCCCTCAACTGGGTCAAAGTAGCAAATTAGAACAATCTAAGACAATGTCAACTGGCCTCTCTCCCTGAGGTCTCCAAGCCGTTGCTTTGGCATCAAGTTCTCTGCCAAGATTTCATTGTATCCAGGGCCAGATTCTCACACGAGCTCAGCCCCCAGCATCCCCCACCCTGGTCGGGTTCTCCCACGAGCTGACATGCTGTGCTCTTTTGGCCCTACGCGAGCAGAGCTGATTCAACTCCAGCCGCCGTTCCTGTGTCCTGGGGTCTGAAGCTCTATTTTGCATCATGGAATTTATCAGGGTCTTCCCTGCACCTCATATTTCAGCCTGCAAATGCCACTGGACTGTGGCAGGGGCAGGTTGGCCCCATGTGGGCTCAGAAGCCACAGAAAGCTCGGCATAGATTCCATGTAGTTTTCTTTCCATCCCAGATAGGTGGGAACCTTCAGAACCTGACCCCACCATCCCTGCCCCAGACACTCACGTTTAACAGCAATCTTTAACTTGGGACTCCATTTCCATACACTTGCGGTCACCGTCCGCACCACACAATGGTAATATCCTGAGTCCTGTAGCCCTGCCACTGGGATGTGGTAGTCAATGGAGCTCCTAGATCCTCCCAAGTCCCTGCTGTCTTTGTAGAAGAATCTCTGAAGCAATGTGTCCGATTTCTGGGGGTTGAGCTCTGTGACACACCTCAGGGTCACCGGGCTTCCTTCTATGGGGTCACCTGAGCCTGCTGCCCTCAGCACCGGAGACGAAAACAGCTCTAGAAGCAGATCAAACTTGGTCACCAGCAGTGTTCAACGCCAGAGCCCAGGGTAGGCTTTGGAAACTACTGCATTTCAGACCGACAGACAGGGATCTACCCCCTGCCCATCCCTAAAATCTCCCATCACAATGAACCTGTTTCCCTGTGAGAGAACATTTCACTCTCATTTGGAGTCCTGATCCCCTGTAGCAGCCCGTCATTGACTTCCTGTTGGTTTTTAAAGCCTCTCACCACATCAGAACAGGCCTCCTTGGAGGGACCTTCTCCTGCTTTATCTCCCATCGTGGCAGCTGGGAGCTCCAGAGATGGAACTGCTGATCCTGCAATGCTGGGCCAGGGGAGGTAGGGCCAGGACTCTGTGCAGATGGATGGGGAAGTCATGCCAGAGCAGGACCCCGGGCTGTTCTCTCTCCCTGTCAGCTCTCTGAGATTTGCGGGGGCTGGTTGTTTGTTGTGGTCTAAGGCTGGTTTCAGAGGTGGGGAGGGCAGGATTTCTGAGCCCACTTTGATATTTATTTATTGCTCCCGTTATTTAATAAATAACGTTGTTTGCGTTTGAATGCATGTTTTGTTCTTTGTCTTCTGAGGCCCCCCTGAGGGAGGAAGGTAGCAGGTGCCAGATGATCATTTGTGAGGAGCGGGAGGGAGAGCTCAGTGGTTTGAGCATTGACCTGCTAAACCCAGGGTTGTGAGTTCAATCCTTGAGGGGACCATTTAGGGATCTGGGGCAAAAATTGGGGATTGGTCCTGCTTTCAGCTGTGGGTTGGACTAGATGACCTCCAGAGGTTCCTTCCAACCCTGAGATTCTATGAGGTCATTATTAGGTATTGTCTTTCATTGTAGGTTTATCTAACCCCACTTGCTTTGCTCTGTGTAGACATACAGATATTAAAATATTTCTCAAACATACATTGTTAGCAGCTATGGCTCTTGCTCCTTCTTTGCAGAGGTGGATTAGGGGTTTGTGGGGCCCTGGACCAGAGCAAGTGGGGGCCCCTCCCCACCACTTCTGCCTGAAGTCACACTCCACCCCCACTCACCCGCCGGCACTCATGCTGGGGAGTGGGGTCGGGGCGTAGGGGCTTCCCCTGCTCCCCAGCAGGAGCACTGGTCGAGTGGGGGGAGCGGGTCAGGGCATGGGCGCACCCATTTTTCCAGGGGCCCCCCAATTGGCCCAGGCCCCTGAGCATGGGCCCCATTGGCCCAGTGGCTAATCTGCCACTGATTCTCTGCCCTTCTGTCTGCAGCAAGTAAGATTGTCACCACTCACCCTTATGCATATTCCAAACCCTTAGCTTCTCCTCAGAGCTAAAGCCAATGAGAGTCAGTAGTCCCATCCCAACAGGTGGGACATCTTGTCTGGGGGGCATTAATTAGGCTAAAGTTAAAATACTCAGCTCCCAGGAAAGGAAGCTCTGGTCTATGATAAGGAATCTTCCAACCAAACCAAAGACTCCCATCATTCACTTGTGGCTGACTCCCATCTCTTTCAGTCTAGCTAAGGAAACCCCCTGCCAGGCGACTGACAGGAATAACTACTCCTTTTCTCATGCAGAGTGCCCTCTGTCTCCTATGTGTGAACCAAGGGCCAAGAAGGAGTATGGAAGCTGTGTGAGTTAAATCAACTAGAGCCAACTGACTGGGAGACCTGGAAAACTGAAGGTCAAATGGGATAAACCCCCTGTTTCCCCAAGAAATCCAAACTACCCTGCCTTCACCTCCAGCCCCACTGCACGTTTGTTTGCCTGATTTATCTCTGGGTGAATAATCTGTCTTGTTCCTCTGATACAATGTCTCATATTCAGCAGTCTCTCATTGGAGTCTGTTGCTTCTGATGAAGTGAGCTGTAGCTCACAAAAGCTTATGCTCAAATATATTTGTTGGTCTCTAAGGTGCCACAAGTACTCCTTTTCTTTTTGCGAATACAGACTAACACGGCTGCTACTCTGAAACCTGTCATATCCAATGATAATCCCTGGAAGATGTGACGTGAAAGGTATTAGATACAATCAAAGAATGTCTGACCCATGTCCATTGATTTAGAAGACTATAAGAGGTTGTTCATTTCCTTTCTAATGGGTTGCTGCGCTCTAGAAGTGACAACTATTGTATAGCACAAGCAAGAGACAGGAATGTTAAGAGGTATAAGCACGTAAAAGCGAGGAGCCCAGTCCATCGTCCAGGCTAATACTGAAATACAATCCATGGAACAAATGAAACCTTCTGACTAACAGGAGCATCGAAGAGTCAAGGTGGGGGAGGTAATATCTCTTATTGCCTCAACTTCTGTTTTTGAGAGAGACAAGCTTTCATGCTTACAATTCAGCGCACTGAATTCCCCAATAACAACTATGTGGGTGAAATGAGACAATCACACCACCAGGGGTGGGGAACCTTTTTTCTCTCTGGGGCCACTGACCCACAGAAAAACTCAGTTGTGGGCCACACACAGCCCCGCGGGGGAGCACAGAGGCTTGGGGCTTCCCGTAGGCTCCAGGGTGGGGCTAGAAATGAGGGATTCAGGGTGTGGGAAGGGGCTCCGGACTGAGGCAAGGGGTTGGGGTGCAGGAGTGGGTGAGGGCTCCGGCTGGGGGTGCGGGCTCTGAGGTGGGGCTGGGAATGAGGGGTTTGGAGTGCAGGAGTGGGCTTAGGGCTGGGGTAGGGGTTTGGGGTATGGGAGGAGGTTCGAGGTGCTGGCTCCAGGAGGGAGTTTGGGTGTCGGAGGGGGCTCAGGGCTGGGGCAGGGAGTTTGGGCTGCGGGCTCAGGCCATGCGGCACTTACCTCAAGTGGCTCCCAGCCGGTGGTTCAGTGGGGCTCCAGGAAGCAGATGGCCTGTCCGGTCTGTAGGCAGAGGCACGGCCAGGCGGCTGCCCCCACAGCTCCATTGGCTGCAGTTCCCGGCCAAAGGGAGTTGCAGAACCAGCGCTGAGGGCAGGGGCAGCACGCGGAGCTTCCCTGATCACCCCTTTGCCTTGGGGCCACAGGGACATGGTGGCTGCTTCCAGGAGCTTGCCACAGGCCAGAGACTTGCCACAAGCCAGATGAAATTAAGCAGTGGGCCAGATCCAGCCCACGGGCTGTAGGTTCCCCACCCCTGCACTACGCTCTCAAATGAACTCACACAGAAACATGACAGAAGACAAAAAAGCGCTATCACCTGTGGGTGAACACGTTTCACAGAACGATCACTGCATATCTGACCTCTCAGTCCTTGTCCCCAAAGGAAACCTGCACAACACCTTCAAAAGATGAGCCTGGAAACTTCAATTCAGAACTTTGCTAGACACTAAAAATCATGGACTGATAGAGACACTGGATTTATGGCTTATTACAAGAATCTACAACACCCTAACCTCCCCCCTACAGTTTCCTCCCCCTATGACAGAAGGGGTGTTAACTGGCCACTTCCCCTTGAATGGTCCCTTGAAATGTGTTAATTCCTGATGCTAAACAATCTGTCCCACCTTATATTTAGCTGTGACACTTTCGGTACCTTTCCCAGACCTGGCGAAGAGCTCTGTGTGGTTCGAAAGCTCGTCTTTCTCACCAAGAGAAATTTGTCCAATAAAAGCAACTATTTCACCGCACTCCTTGTCTCTCTAATATCCTGGAGGGACCAACAAGGCTCCACTGCATAGGAGCATCCAAGAAATTTGTCATGTCCCAACACCATCTGCTGGATACTGATGGAAGCAGCTGAAAAATGGAGAGCTGAAATCTGAGTGCCTGTTTACCGGGGCCAGATAGAAATAAGAGGGGCTATACTCTGTGAGCACATGTGGACCTCAAAGCTTTGCTAAACCCCCATGTGGGAAAGACTCTCTCCCCTCTCCCACACATCATGGTCACAGCATGAAGCAGAGTTGACTGAACCTAACAATAAACTGCTGAATCCAGAAGTGTGACCGGACGCCCAGACCAGCTGGGTGGAAAGGACTCTCCCCTATGTCAGGGTTACCGGGGTCAGGAGAAGTGGTGAGATTTCATTTCAAATATGTGTTTCTCCTGCTATTCTTGAATATGACAAACTGCAGATTAGCTGGTTGAGTCTGCGTTCTTTAGTGAGCCCTCACTAACTAATGCCATGCGCCAGGGGTCTCTGACCTAAGCCCAGGCAAACTGGCCTAAGAGAGATTTAAAACAATACCTTTACGCAATCACTTTTGGTATTTTAAATTTGTGCCTTTCACACCAAACTATTTAACTAGCAGGGCCACACGCTGAGCCTTATAAGTGCCTTCGAGACAAAGCGTACCCTTCCCCCTTGGAGAAATCCTGGAAGTGTGAGAAATGTATCAGAGGGACTAAAGAACTGATGAATGTAAATAAATGTCATAAGAAATTTTGGTGATCTGTGCTCTTCCTCGGTACACCTGCTGAGCCTCAATGCTAGTCTATGACAGTTGTAAGAGTGTATTGGTGTGTTCAGTGCATGCCTAGAACACTGGTTGTGTGTACACTTGACTGGTGCCGTGTTAATGGTAGACTGGTGTGGTCCGGAGTGAATTAATAAACTGTTGATTGGTTAAGAATAACCAAGTGACCTGTTCTGAGAAATACTGGCCCAGGTAAAAGCTGACCTGAAAAGAACCTAGCATTACAATGAGTAAGCTAAGCGCTCATGGGACTCTGTAGAAGGGGTTATCCTGTTTAGGTTCCATTCCAATACTGGCTACAGCTCTTATCACATTGGCAAATCGAGTCTGTTAGATCTCAGCTTTAAAATCAAACTGGCACCTTGGCACGTTCCTAAAATGGATCCATTTTACGCTGACGCCCGTCCCTGCCTGCTGCGCTGTAACACTCCTGTTCCTACAGCTAGAGATAAAGGGCCCGATTCTGACCTCACTTACCCCTGGGGATGTCAGTTGTAGCAGCCAGTGCAGCTACGCCAATGTCAAAGCAAGGGGAGACCAGATTTTGGACTAAAGTCACTTGGCCAAATTATGATTCTCCTAATGGCAGCTAGGTAAAGGCAAAGCCTTCCCCGCCAAGGAAGCTGGAGCAGGATGTCCACTGCTTATTGTATGAAGAAAGAGGTGCCGGACTCAAGCAATAGTGACGGGGTCCTCTGCACCACATGACCTCGCACACACCATACGTGGGAGGTCACACCTTGCACCACTGACAGAAGATGCACCAGGCTCAGCTCTGAGTATGTCCTGTGTGCTGAGACTGCCCCCTCTCTGCCCAGCCCCCCACTCACAAAAATTCCTCACCTTGGACAGAAATAGACACCACAGGAGAAATTTTTTCAGAAATCATGAATATAGTTTTCATTGATCCTGTGCAGTGATATTTGCCACTGTCACTTGTCTTTGCTTGTTTGATGGACAGCTCTGAGTTCACATAGGGTGGAGTAATGTATGCTTCATTTCTGTAATATTTTATCCCAGATACCTCTGCTCCCTTCCATCCGTAGCACCTCAGGTGCAGCGGGTCCCCTTCGAACACAGCATAGTAAGGGGCCTGGAGAATCAGCCACTCTGAAAGAGAGACACCGAGAGCTAATGGCGGGTTACTGCATGGCCCAACAGGGCCCGTGCCCAGGGGCCCCAGCCAATTTGGGGCCCACAGAAAAATCTCCCCCTGCCATGGCCATGGGGCTGGAGGAGCTCTTGCTGCCCGCCGTGGCCCCAAGGCACAGAACTTCTCCAGTCTCGGGGCCGCAGGGTGGGGGGGAAATGAGGGGTGGACGGAGGGGTGGAAAGGAACAAGCTGGGGGAGGCGCCATGGGGGAAGGGTGGAATGGGACAGGGCCATGGGCGGAATGGGTGGGGGCTGCAGGGGGAAGGGACAAAGCTGGGCTGGGTGTGGAATGGGGGCAGGGCCATGGCAGAAGGGGCTGGGCCACTGCTCCAGCACCGGGCTCCTCCCCCCGACTTGCTCCAGCCCAGAGCTCCAGGAGACCTTAATCCGCCTCTGCTGAGAGCAGGAGCTCCAGGAGATCATGGCACCAGGGAACTCAGTGCGCTCAGTTCTGCAGGCTGTGGGCTGCAAGTCACACTCACCCTTTGCAGGGAGGGAGAGAGAGAGTCAGGCAAAAAAGTTCCCCAGGCCGCAGGTAAAAGTGAACCACAAGAAAATCCTTTCTAGCCAAGAGAAAGACAGACATTAAGTTGCCCTGGTAAGGAGGGGCAGGCGTGCCAAAGAACCGCAAGAGGGGTGAGTCCAGGCTGAGCGAGGGGGAGGCAGGAGACAGGGTCAGGGCTCTGGAGAGAGAGCTCGGGAGGGAAACAGCATCAGAGGAGGTGGGATAGCAGCTCCCAGAGGGGGAAGGAGGGGGCTGTGCCCGCTGGCCTGCAGCGTGGAATTTGGGAGCAAACCCAGATTCTATTGACTGATCCCCCACCACAGCCCAAGCCAGGAGCAGCCTCCCCAGGCTGCAGGGACGGGAGCATGCCTGCCCCACTGCTGCTCCGGCTCCAGTGAGCTGGGGGCAGGTGCCCCAAGGCCTTTCTCCTGCAGCCAGGGAGGCCTTCACGTAGGGTGTGACCACCCGTCCCTTATTTTAAGGAACACCCCTTGACCATTTGAAATATTAAATTGAAGCTTACGACAATTGCACTGTATTCCAGAGGGCAGGAGAAATGTACACGTGGGAGAACAACATGCTCTGCTAAGGGAAATGGTGTTTTCTTAAATTGTCCCTTATTTTTCATGTAGTTTTCCCTAATTTCCATCCAATAAAAGTGGCCACCTGACCTGCAGGCTAGATCCCTGCCAGACCCCGAGTGGAGCTGTGGGCAGGTAGCTGGCAGCATCTCCCTCCACTCACTGCTTCAGGAGCTGGGTTTGCCCCACTGCAGAGTGGGCAGCAGCTCCACAGGGCCCCACAGGTCAGAGCAGAGCAGAAAGGCTTCGACCTGCTGTTACGTGACTCACTTTCAGAAATGGTCAGCAGAACGGGGTCGCTTTGCCCGGAGCCAGGAGCCTTGCACTGGTATCTACCTGCATCACTCATCTTTGTCTTTTCAATTCTGAAGCTGTTTTTTACTGTGTTTCTGAATGACTTGTTGTTGTGATACCATGAGAAATTCCGTCCAGGAGAGCGGGATGTGCTGCACGTCAGAGTAACGCTCTGCCCCGTAAACACTGTGCTCCATGGAGGGTTAAGGGTCAGCGTGGCCTTTTGTGCAGTCGCTGTAGGGCCGGCAGAGAGGGAGGAGACAACAGGACAGAGCTGACCTCAGGGTAAAGGAGGAGATGAGCCCCATGGCCTCAGCACGGGAGGCTGGAGCCAGGGAACTGCGCAGGGGTACGCTCTAGGCTGGGATTGCCAAAGGGGTTAGGCACCTGACTGCCTAGGCAGTGCCCCTGGTTATCAAGTATTGTTTAGCACTGGGGAGAGGGCGATGTTACGGTAGTGCCTCATGGCATCCAAGTCCTGTTTAGCATTAGGGGGTAGTGGGATAATGTCCCAGTGGCGCCCCCTTGGTACCCAGGTACTGTCTAGTACTAGGGGCAGTAGGATAGTGTCACAGCAGCACCCCCAGTAGCCAGGTATTGTCAGGTACTGTGGAGCAGTGGGGTAATGTCACAGCAGCCCCCCATACCCAGGTAGTGTCTGGTGGTAGGGGGCAGTGGGGTAATGTCACAGCAGACCCCGTAGCCGGGTACTGACTGGTGATAGGGGGCAGTGGGGTAATGTCACAGCAGACCCCGTTGCCGGGTACTGACTGGTGATAGAGGGCAGTGGGGTAATGTCACGGCAGACCCTGTAGCCGGGTACTGTCTGGTGACAGGGGGCAGTGGGGTAATGTCACAGCAGACCCCGTAGCCGGGTATTGTCTGGTGATAGAGGGCAGTGGGGTAATGTCGCGGCAGACCCTGTAGCCGGGTACTGTCTGGTGACAGGGGGCAGTGGGGTAATGTCACAGCAGACCCTGTAGCCGGGTACTGTCTGGTGATAGAGGGCAGTGGGGTAATGTCGCGGCAGACCCTGTAGCCGGGTACTGTCTGGTGACAGGGGGCAGTGGGGTAATGTCACAGCAGACCCTGTAGCTGGGTACTGTCTGGTGATAGGGGGCAGTGGGGTAATGTCACGGCAGACCCCGTAGCCGGGTACTGTCTGGTGACAGGGGGCGGTGGGGTAATGTCACGGCAGACCCTGTAGCCGGGTACTGACTGGTGATAGGGGGCAGTGGGGTAATGTCACGGCAGACCCTGTAGCCGGGTACTGTCTGGTGACAGGGGGCAGTGGGGTAATGTCACGGCAGACCCTGTAGCCGGGTACTGTCTGGTGACAGGGGGCAGTGGGGTAATGTCACAGCAGACCCTGTAGCCGGGTACTGACTGGTGACAGGGGCAGTGGGGTAATGTCACAGCAGACCCTGTGGTACTGTCTGGTGACAGGGGGCAGTGGGGTAATGTCACAGCAGACCCTGTAGCCGGGTACTGACTGGTGACAGGGGGGTGGGGTAATGTCACAGCAGACCCTGTAGCCGGGTACTGTCTGGTGACAGGGGGCAGTGGGGTAATGTCACAGCAGACCCTGTAGCCGGGTACTGTCTGGTGACAGGGGGCAGTGGGGTAATGTCACAGCAGACCCTGTAGCCGGGTACTGACTGGTGACAGGGGGCAGTGGGGTAATGTCACAGCAGACCCTGTAGCCGGGTACTGTCTGGTGACAGGGGGCAGTGGGGTAATGTCACAGCAGACCCTGTAGCCGGGTACTGACTGGTGATAGGGGGCAGTGGGGTAATGTCACAGCAGACCCTGTAGCCGGGTATGTCTGGTGATAGGGGGCAGTGGGGTAATGTCACGGCAGACCCCGTAGCCGGGTACTGACTGGTGATAGGGGGCAGTGGGGTAATGTCACGGCAGACCCCGTAGCCGGGTACTGTCTGGTGATAGGGGGCGGTGGGGTAATGTCACAGCAGACCCCGTAGCCGGGTACTGTCTGGTGATAGGGGGCAGTGGGGTAATGTCACGGCAGACCCCGTAGCCGGGTACTGTCTGGTGATAGGGGGCGGTGGGGTAATGTCACAGCAGACCCCGTAGCCGGGTACTGTCTGGTGATAGGGGGCGGTGGGGTAATGTCCCAGCAGCACCTCCTGGTACCCAGGTGCTGTCTAGTATTAGAGAGCAGGGGCAGCACCCCCTGGTACCTGCACGTTAGGGGTTGGGGCCCCTGCAGTTTATGTTGGCAGGAATATTCAGAGATGAGCAGGACTCACCAGCTAGGCCAAGGGCTGCAAAAGAAATGAGAAGGAATGAAGCTTAGTGCAGTCTGTTTCCTGCAACACCAGCGCGGGGGCTGTTATGGGAAGTCCTCTGGCCTGTGTCAAGCAGCTGCTCAGACGCGGGGATCACTGAGGTCCCTTCTCGCACCACAATCTAGGGAGGGAGCCTGCTCCCCAGGCGGTCAGAGCCTTCACCTCCCCTGCACATGGGGACATGGAGCCCACCCGGGCCAGGGGCTCCTCCAAGGCCTCCTGTGGAGTCTGGGGGAGCGCGGGGAAGAGAGCCCAGGCATCCAGACTCCTAGAGCTGCACCATCGGGACTAAGCACAGACCAGATCCCGGCTGGGATGGGCTCAGGGTGAGTCCATGGACTCGGAGCGCTGCCGGGCCTGCGCCCAGTTCGTCACACGTGAGACACCTGCTGGCAGCACATCCCAGCTACCCCAGCAGCTCACCCGCCCCACCCCACTGTGCCCGGCCCCACTGCCTCACTGGCACTGGCCATGGCATATCCCTCTGTAGGACCAAGATCCCTCCTGGTACCAGAGCCCACCTCTCTTCATTCCCCAGAGTGTGAAGATCTCAGAAGCCAGCAAACCCAGGGGAGCCCACACTGAGCTGGGCAGGACACATGCTGCTCCCCTGGCGTCCCCAGCTCTGCGGCTCGGTGAATGGGGCTGATGTCTCGCCTTCTCTCGGACAGTGAAATGTCTTCCCTGGCCGTCACCAAACCTCATACCCACAGCTAAAATGGCCCATTCCTTGGCACTATCTGCCCCCTTGGGGCTGTCTGCAGACTGGCCAGGGACTGAATGGGCCATGGAGACTGAGTCCCCCTCTCTGTTCCTGCAGCAGGGGGAATCCCTCTGAATCTCACTAAACTCCTCTGGGACAGCTGCTCCCCCGTGCAGCCTGCATGGGCTGTCAGCGCCCTGGGACTGCAGTACAATCACCCAGCCCTCCTGCCCACCCCCATGGCCCCCCAACACCCAGCCCCCCAGTCCCTACTCACCCAGCACAAGCAGCTCTGCCCTCCCCAGCATCCTGGACGCTGTGAAAGGAGCCGACCCACACACGTAGTGCAGCAAAACATGCTCCCCTTTGCATAACCTCTCTGCTGGGGAAAGGGGAAGGAAGCAGCTTTCCCTTTCGCATAAGGGCTGCACCTTTCGCCCAGCTAGGGTGACCAGATGTCCTGATTTAATAGGGACAGTCCCGATATTTGGGGCTTTTGCTTATATGGGCACTTATTACCCCCCAGCCCCGATATAGGCATCTATTACCCGCCACCCCCGATATAGGCACCTATTACCCCCCAGCCCCGAGATAGGCACCTATTACCCCCCCACCCCCATCCTGATTTTTCACACTTGGTATCTGGTCACCCTACGCCCAACCCAGGGTCCGGAGCCAGCTGAGGGGAGCTCAGCACTCCCTCACAGCCAGCCTGGGATGGGGCTGCCGCAGCCCCGGGGGTGGGGTGCTACCCGTCGCCCCTCCTGGGGCCAGGAGATCTTTGACCCACATGTGGAGCCGCCCCCAGGCACAGGCAGGGGATCTTGGCTCAGCCTTGTTCTGGCTCTTGTATATACCAGGCGAGATACAGAGGACCAGACCCCAGTGGCTGTAAATTGTCTCTGCTCCAGTGAAATCAATGGAGTGATTTACACCCACTGCAGATCTGGCCTAGGGTGCTCATCGACTTTCTGAGGAAACTACAATGCATTGGTGATCTTCCTGAAAACACCATCCTGGCCACCATGGATGTAGAAGCTCTATCTGTTAGTCTTTATGGTGCCACCGGACTCCTTGTTGTTTTTGTGGCTACAGACTAACACGGCTGTCCCCTGATACTCGTCTCCCTCTGGTCTTTCTGCACATTGCCAGCGTTTAGCTGCTGACCCTGCACATGACCCAAGAGAATCTGCATCCCCACTGGCTCCCCAACCGCCACCCACACCCCGACACTCCCGGCCTGCCCAGCTCGTCTGCCCATCTGTAATGCCAGTAACTATGCTGGGTTCCCAGTCAGCCCGTTACAGGCCTGACTCCGATCTCGCTCTTGCTGGGTTTACTCCCGGGACTGGCCGTGGAGTCGCTCCTGAGTCACCCCCAGGGGAGCGAGCAGCACTCAGCCACGCTAGTTCAAGTGAGGAGCAAACACGGGAGGCTGGTCAAAACAAAGAGGCAAATGGTGTTAAAAATGAAACACTGAAAATGCAGTTTGGCCCCATTTCTTTCCAACAGCCCCCCATTTGAACAGAGGGTGTCTCCTCGCTAGATCCCAAACCTTTACCCCCCTTTTACAGATGGGCCAGCTGAGGCACAGAGGGGGAAGCGGCCTTGCCCAGGGTCACCCAGCAGAGCAGTGGCAGAACTGGGGTTGAACTCCCAGCTCCTGAGTCCCAGTCTAGTGCCTAACTGCTAGGCTACACTCCCTACCTAGGCGGCTGTGGGGTTGAAACCTATGTCCCCAAAGAGACTGGAGCCCAACCCCAGTCAGTCTCCGTAGGCACATATCTGCCTGCCTCCATGCACGCCCCTCCTCTATCACCAGCCACCACTGACCTTAAGCACCAAGAGTGACAAGTCGCTGGCCCCTGTGCAATCAGGGCTGGGTGCTGTTCAGGCCATAACACAGCTGGGTGAATCACAACTATGCAAATCAAGGGATTTCCTGGGGGCCGAAGCAGAACTGCCACTGTGGGAGCGGAGTGCTGCTCTGTGAACATCTGTTTGGTCCTAGCAGAAACTTGCAGAAAGTGAGTGTTTTAATTCACTCCCTTCCCCCTCCCCATCAGAACTAGGGGGCGCAGAGCCAGCACGGGGGTCTGCATCCCAAAGGGGGTCCCAAGCTACCTCTGAGCACCCCTCCCTTTGTAATAGAGAGAGAGAGCCTGGTGCACGCGTCCTGGTACAAGACCTGAGGCTGTGAACCAAAGTCAGGCCATGTATTAAAGCAGATCTGCATCCAGTACATGAACTTGGCAGAGTTGTTGCTAGTATTCTAGGCACTAGATATTTATGTAAATATATTGCACCCCAGGCTAGTACAAGATCAGATGGTTTGACAGAACACTGAATAGGGTGGTTTTGTCCAAGACATCAGGAACCATGGGAGGTAACAAACAGATGTCATGGAACACGTCAGGTGGTACATTAGTTGTTTATCCCAGCTGTTTGTCTCAGTCTATAAATGTTGGGGTACCTCGCCTTAACCCTTTGTGTGGCCAAGGGGACAGCAGAGACTCCCGCTGCTGACTGAGCTGCTCCTTGCCACTGGGCACTCATGTGTTAGTGTACGTGTAACCACGGAGCCAGGGCGCTATGACTGTGCCTTGAGGGAAATAAACCTGGCCAGCTGCCTTTGTCACCGAACCGTGCTGCTGGTCATTCTTTATGAGTAGCATCGAGGTCTGCTGAACGAGCAGGCTGCCTTCGCTGCTGTTAGCACAAAAGCACTGAGCAGCCTGAACGGCGTTACCAAAGCAACAACATCCCAGCCTTCAGCACTTAGCAACACCGGTGACCCTGACCACTGAGCCAGTAGGTGACAAGCTGCCCTCTGTAGGGATTGTAACCTAACATGACAGAAAATTATGAGCTAGGGAATCCCCTATTTCCCTCCCTTCAATGCACAGATTTTAATAAGTTTTAGACATGCTGGGTAATGGAAAGAAAAAGGTCCATGTGAGTTTAAAAAACAAAGTGGGGAAACATGGACTGGAATCTCTAAGGCTAGGGCAAAGACCGTCATCCTGAAAAATAACAACAGTAAGAAATGGACAATATTGCAAACTGTGGCCAGGGCTGTTAAATGGTTAAGACAACACATCCCAACATTGGCAGGGCAAGTAACAGAAACAAACAAAGAAGTTAGAAAAAGCAACAAAAGCAACAGACACTGGAGGAACAAATTCAGGTTTTGCAAGAGGAGGTAAAAATTGCCACTCTGCTCTCAGAGCCAGGATAAAAACCAGAGGTATGAGTTCCCAACGGCTTAAACCACAGAGCCCCACGCCTCTGCTTAGAGCTAATAATGTAACCTTCTTTCTCAAATATTTTTAGCTACCAGTTACATTTTCCTTTATATCCTTTCTCAGTTTGCTAAATTTGCTGCTGCTGTCTGTGGTTTAAGATAAAACTTGACAGAGTAAATTCACCTCCCTCTGCTCAGGTCTCCCTCTCTTCCTAGGTTGCTCTTCCCCCCACACCTCCTACTTCTGTTCTCTCTTTGTTTTAAAAGTTAAAAGTTCTAGTTACGACATGCCAAGTAACAGAAATGTTAACTCTGCTTCTGATCCTAACCACTGACTAATATTTGACATATGGGCTTTTCTCTGTGCAATTTAATAGCATTATTAAAATAATTGTGTTTGTTTTGTATGTACGTATTACGTTGTCCTGTGTTGTATGCTGAGTGTGTCATGTGACTATTTTTTTGGTGTGACCTGGGGGGGGACCCAGCTATGGTCACTCAATTAGGGTGAACTGCAAAGAATGGGGCAGACAATTCCCATAAAGCTGGTGGATATTCCAATACTTAGATTTACCAAGCCAGCATAAAACAGCTTCTTTATTATCTTCCTGGTTACTCAGAAGTCCAAACAACACAGTTCCCTTAAAGTGATCCAGCCTCCTGCCTCCATCCAGGTACCCACATCAAATATGATGAAAATTTCTGTAAATCTTATTTCATCATATAAAAGAAAAGGTTGTACCAACCCCAAAGGATTGGACACGTCACCTCCCAGGTTAATGAATGTTTCAGATCTTACCCAAAGACACGCTACAGCCAGTTCTTATTAACAAAACTAAAATTTATTAAAAAACAAAAGAGAGAGAGAGAGAGTACAGTTAAAAGATCAATATACAGACAAAAAGAAAAGGAGTACTTGTGGCACCTTAGAGACTAACCAATTTATTTGAGCATGAGCTTTCGTGAGCCACAGCTCACTTCATCAGATGTGTACCGTGGAAACTGCAGCAGACTTTATATACACACAGAGAATATGAAACAATACCTCCTCCCACCCCACTGTCCTGCTGGTAATAGCTTATCTAAAGTGATCAGCAGGTGGGCCATTTCCAGCACAAATCCAGGTTTTCTCACCCTCCACCCCCCCACACAAATTCACTCTCCTGCTGGTGCTAGCCCATCCAAAGTGACAACTCTTTACATAATCAAGTCGGGCTATTTCCTGCATAGATCCAGGTTTTCTCACATCCCCCCCACCCCCATACACACACAAACTCACTCTCCTGCTGGTAATAGCTCATCTAAACTGACCACTCTCCAAGTTTAAATCCAAGTTAAACCAGAATATCTGGGGGGGGGATAGGAAAAAACAAGAGGAAACAGGCCACCCCGCATAACGACCCAGCCACTCCCAGTCTCCATCCAAGCCCAAATTAATAGCATCCAATTTGCAAATGAATTCCAACTCAGCAGTTTCTCGCTGGAGTCTGGATTCGAAGTTTTTTTGTTTTAAGATAGCGACCTTCACGTCTGTGATTGCGTGACCAGAGAGACCGAAGCGTTCTCCGACCGGTTCACGAATGTTACAATTCTTGACATCTGACCTGCGTCCATCTATTCTTCTACGCAGAGACTGTCCAGCTTGACCAACATACATGGCAGAGGGGCATCGCCGGCACACGACGGCATATACCACATTGGTGGATGCGCAGGTGAACGAGCCCCCGACAGCGCGGCTGATGTTATTAGGCCCTGTGATGGTGTCCCCCGAACAGACACGTGGGCACAATTGGCAACGGGCCCTGCCGCAAGGATAAGTTCCTGGGTCAGTGGTTCTGTTGTGTGGCATGTGGCTGTTGGTGAGTATTTGCTTCAGGTTGCGGGGCTGTCTGTAGGCAAGGACTGGCCTGTCTCCCAAGACTTGTGAGAGTGTTGGGTCATCCCCCAGGATAGGCCGTAGATCCTCAATAATGCGTTGGAGGGGTTCCAGCTGGGGGCCGAAGGTGACCGCCAGTGGCGCCCTGTTATCTTCCTTGCTAGGCCCGTCCTGCAGTAGGTAACCTCTGGGAACTCTTCTGGCTCCACCAATCTGCCTCTCCACTTCCGCAGGTGGGCACTGTAGTCGCAAGAAAGCCTGACAGAGATCCTGTAGGTGCCCGTCTCCGTCTGAGGGGCTGGAGCAAATGCGGTTGTATTGCAGAGCTTGGCTGTAGACGATGGATCGTGTGGTGTGGTCAGGGTGAAAGCTGGAGGCATGCAGGTAGGAATAGCGGTCAGTAGGTTTCCGGTATAGGGTGGTGTTTATGTGGCCATTGTTTATTAGCACTGTAGTGTCCAGGAAGTGGATCTCTTGTGTGGACTGGACCAGGCTGAGGTTGGTGGTGGGATGGAAATTGTTGAAATCATGGTGGAATTCCTCAAGGGCTTCTTTTCCATGGGTCCAGATGATGAAGATGTCATCAATATAGCGCAAGTAGAGTAGGGGCGCAAGTAGAGTAGGGGCTTTAGGGGACGAGAGCTGAGGAAGCGTTGTTCTAAATCAGCCATAAAAATGTTGGCATACTGTGGGGCCATGCGGGTACCCATAGCAGTGCCGCTGATCTGAAGGTATACAGGTTTCGACCTTCAGGAGGAGTCCAAAGATGGACTACAGGCCGTCAGGAACACTATCCCCGATAATGTCACGGCTAACCTGGTGGCTGAACTTTGTGACTTTGTCCTTACCCATAACTATTTCACATTTGGGGACAATGTATACCTTCAGATCAGCGGCACTGCTGATCTGGGGTACCCGCATGGCCCCACAGTATGCCAACATTTTTATGGCTGATTTAGAACAACGCTTCCTCAGCTCTCGTCCCCTAAAGCCCCTACTCTACTTGCGCCCCTACTCTACTTGCGCTATATTGATGACATCTTCATCATCTGGACCCATGGAAAAGAAGCCCTTGAGGAATTCCACCATGATTTCAACAATTTCCATCCCACCACCAACCTCAGCCTGGTCCAGTCCACACAAGAGATCCACTTCCTGGACACTACAGTGCTAATAAACAATGGCCACATAAACACCACCCTATACCGGAAACCTACTGACCGCTATTCCTACCTGCATGCCTCCAGCTTTCACCCTGACCACACCACACGATCCATCGTCTACAGCCAAGCTCTGCAATACAACCGCATTTGCTCCAGCCCCTCGGACGGAGACGGGCACCTACAGGATCTCTGTCAGGCTTTCTTGCGACTACAGTGCCCACCTGCGGAAGTGGAGAGGCAGATTGGTGGAGCCAGAAGAGTTCCCAGAGGTTACCTACTGCAGGACGGGCCTAGCAAGGAAGATAACAGGGCGCCACTGGCGGTCACCTTCGGCCCCCAGCTGGAACCCCTCCAACGCATTATTGAGGATCTACGGCCTATCCTGGGGGATGACCCAACACTCTCACAAGTCTTGGGAGACAGGCCAGTCCTTGCCTACAGACAGCCCCGCAACCTGAAGCAAATACTCACCAACAGCCACATGCCACACAACAGAACCACTGACCCAGGAACTTATCCTTGCGGCAGGGCCCGTTGCCAATTGTGCCCACGTGTCTGTTCGGGGGACACCATCACAGGGCCTAATAACATCAGCCGCGCTGTCGGGGGCTCGTTCACCTGCGCATCCACCAATGTGGTATATGCCGTCGTGTGCCGGCGATGCCCCTCTGCCATGTATGTTGGTCAAGCTGGACAGTCTCTGCGTAGAAGAATAGATGGACGCAGATCAGATGTCAAGAATTGTAACATTCGTGAACCGGTCGGAGAACGCTTCGGTCTCTCTGGTCACGCAATCACAGACATGAAGGTCGCTATCTTAAAACAAAAAAACTTCGAATCCAGACTCCAGCGAGAAACTGCTGAGTTGGAATTCATTTGCAAATTGGATGCTATTAATTTGGGCTTGGATGGAGACTGGGAGTGGCTGGGTCGTTATGCGGGGTGGCCTGTTTCCTCTTGTTTTTTCCTACCCCCCCCCCAGATATTCTGGTTTAACTTGGATTTAAACTTGGAGAGTGGTCAGTTTAGATGAGCTATTACCAGCAGGAGAGTGAGTTTGTGTGTGTATGGGGGTGGGGGGGAAGTGAGAAAACCTGGATCTATGCAGGAAATAGCCCGACTTGATTATGTAAAGAGTTGTCACTTTGGATGGGCTAGCACCAGCAGGAGAGTGAATTTGTGTGGGGGGGTGGAGGGTGAGAAAACCTGGATTTGTGCTGGAAATGGCCCACCTGCTGATCACTTTAGATAAGCTATTACCAGCAGGACAGTGGGGTGGGAGGAGGTATTGTTTCATATTCTCTGTGTGTATATAAAGTCTGCTGCAGTTTCCACGGTACACATCTGATGAAGTGAGCTGTGGCTCACGAAAGCTCATGCTCAAATAAATTGGTTAGTCTCTAAGGTGCCACAAGTACTCCTTTTCTTTTTGCGAATACAGACTAACACGGCTGTTCCTCTGAAATATACAGACAGACATGAGTTCAATTCACTGAGGTTCAGATTCACAGCAGAGATGATGAGCTTTGTAGTTGCAAAGAGTTCCTTTAGAATTCAGTTCATAGGTTATAGTCCAACATCCAAATCTCATATTCAGGGTGTACCAGCATAACTGGGACCTCAGTCTTGTGACTCAAACTTCCCCTGAAGAAGCCTAAGCAGATCTGAGATGAACAGGATCAGGGTCTTTTTATACAGTGTCCTAGCATCCACTTAACCACACAGTCCTGGTTAAACAATAGGCTTTTGATGTAACCTTTTGCTTTCTAAACACCTCCAGTAATTAGTTACACAAATTAACATAGGGCAATTTATCCATTAGGCAGTCTATTACAAACTTCAAAGAGACATATGGACAATGACATTATTTTACCCAAGATTTATCCAAATGTTAATATTCCCTTTTGATCTCTGAATCAATAATTATAGTGACAGACAGGAACTGTCTGTTTAGGGGCAGCATCTAAGATACACACAATTTGTATTACTTCTAACAATATAGGTTTGCATTTCAAAGTTCTAGCCTATTTAGCATGAATGGCCCTAATTATCATTTGCATATCTTTCTAACATGACTTTAAAGGTGGTCTTTAGGTCATTCAGCCTGCAAGCTATTTAACCCTTTCTAGCCATGCATCACAAAAGGAAATAATGACAGGTTTCAGAGTAGCAGCCATGTTAGTCTGTATTCGCAAAAAGAAAAGGAGGACTTGTGGCACCTTAGAGACTAACAACTTTATTTGAGCATAAGCTTTCGTGGGCTACAGCTCACTTCATCGGATGCATTCAGTGTAAAAAAAAAATGAATGCATCCGATGAGGTGAGCTGTAGCTCACGAAAGCTTATGCTCAAATAAAGTTGTTCGTCTCTAAGGTGCCACAAGTCCTCCTTTTTTTTAAAAGGAAATAATGTAAGGGGAAACCTTAATATTAATGCAAAGTTAATAGTAACAAAATGTCAGTTTCTTTTTAGGGTTTTTATAAACTTGTTTGAGCCCTTATTAAATATTAAAATATAGTTATAAAATGTTATAGAAAAATGTTTAAAAATAGAACAATATATATACTGTGTTTGGTTATGTTGCAAAATGTTAAAGTTAACCAAACAGTTTCAACCAGTTTTGTCTCCCAGACAAAACCAAATGCTATGAAAGTTTAGTACCCTCAAAGTGTGTGCATAGACCTGCATTTAAAATGCATTTTGGTTTAATTTTTATACTTTTTTTCTTTTATGTTATATTAAATGGAAGTAGTGGTTGTTAAAGTATGCTTCCAAACAGTTAACAAAAGTTGAATTGGTATGACTAGCAAATTAACTTTAAAAAGCTTGGGTAAAAACTTCTGTTACTACAGTAACTGTTTTGCTAAAACAGTGCTCAGCAGGGGAAAGCAATACACCTTCTCACAGAAGAGTGCAAGCATCTATTTTAGTGGTTAAGCACTACATTTAGTATAAAAATAAGTAATGCGCCATGCTAAGGAAGTAAAAATGAATGTCTACGCAAAACCTGCAAAAGCATCTGTAACAATTATATTTGAGCTAAAAATTGGGAAAAATCAGAATAGAAACATAGCTTGTGTTATAGAAGACGTTTGTCCCTATTACAGTGTAAACAAGCTAAATTAATCTGTATGTCAAATGTGGGTTATTGGAACCAGAGAAATTAAAGCAAACAAGCAAAAACTTTATGCTGTTAACCATAAGCTGTTTAAGGGTGCATCCCACAGACCACAGACACCAGAAGCTATCAGTACACAATAAAGAAACACCCAGGCATCAGGAAAGAAAAATGAACTGCTTTATATGTAACAGACGGGTCAACTAATTTCAAAAAGAAAAGGAGGACTTGTGGCACCTTAGAGACTAACCAATTTATTTGAGCATGAGCTTTCGTGAGCTACAGCTCACTTCATTTCAGTCTACCATATATGGACAATTGAGTATGCAATCATCTACAGAGATATTATAGAAACCACTAGCTGGACTAGGTTTAACTGTTGTTTAAATGTATATTACTCAGCACAGTGGCAGATTAATGATTTTGCCACCCCTAGGCTCAGAAATAATTGCCGACCCCCCCACCCAGCTTGCCTCCGCTCCGCCTTCTCCCCTGAGCGTGCCGCCGGGTCCTGCTTCCCCCCGCTCCCTGCCAGTGCTTGTGTGCAAAACAGCTTCGTGTAGGAGGGGGGAAGGGCGGGAACGCGGCGCGCTCAGGAGAGGAGGCGGGGCCAAGGCAGGGATTTGAGGAAGGGGACCAATAGGGGCAGGGAGGGGGCAGGGAATGGGGGTGGGGAAGGGGTGGAGTTGGGGTGAGGCCGGGGGCGGAGGGCGCAAACCGGCACCAGGAGAAGCAGCCTCTGGCTGCTATTATAAATTTGCCGCCCCTGGAAATTTGCCACCCTAGGCCGAGGCCTTGTCGGCCTAGGCGTTAATATGCCGCTGACTCAGCAAAGTAAATTCAGGAAGTTTTTGGAGAGTGTTGGAGACAACTTTCTGGTACAAGTGCTGGAGGAACCAACTAGGGGTCATCTTCCCTTGACCTGCTGCTCACAAACAGGAAAGAACTGGTAGGGGAAGTAGAAGTGGGTGGCAACCTGGGTAGCAGTAACCATGAGATGGTCAAGTTCAGGATCCTGAAAAAGGGAAGAAAGGAGAGTAGCAAAATACGGACCCTGGACTTCGGAAAAGCAGACTTTGACTTCCTCAGTGAACTGATATGCAGGATCCCCTGGGAGGCTAATATGAAGGGGAAAGGAGTCCAGGAGAGCTGGCTGTATTTTAAAGAACCCTTATTGAGGGCGCAGGAACAAACCATCCCAATGTGCAAAAAGAATAGCAAATATGGCAGGTGACCAGCTTGGCTTAACAGTGAAATCTTCGGTGAGCTTAAACTCAAAAAGGAAGCTTACAAGAAGTGGAAATTTGGATAGATGACTAGGGAGGAGTATAAAAATATTGCTCGGGCGTGCAGGGGTGTAATCAGTAAGGCCAGGGCACAACTGGAGTTGCAGTTAGCAAGGGATGTGAAGGGTAACAAGAAGGGTTTCTACAGGTATGTTAGCAACAAGAAAGAGGTAAGGGAAAGTGTGGGACCCTTACTGAAAGGGGGAGGCAACCTAGTGACAGATGATGTGGAAAAGCTGAAGTACTCAATGCTTTTTTTGCCTCGGTCTTCACAGACAAGGTCAGCTCCCAGACTGCTACACTGTGCAACACAGTATGGGGAGGAGGTGAGCAGCCCTCAGAGGTGAAAGAACAGGTTAACGTCTATTTAGAAAAGCTGGACATGAACAAGTCCATGGGTCCAGTTCTAATGCATGCAAGGGTGCTGAGGGAGTTGGCTGATGTGACTGCAGAGCCATTGGCTATTATCTTTGAAAATGTGTGGCAATTGGGGGAGGTTGGATTGGAAAAAGGCAAATATAGTGCCCATATTTAAAAAAGGGAAGAAAGAGAACCATGGGAACTACAGACCGGTCAGCCTCACTTCAGTCTCCAGCAAAATCATGGAGCAGGTCCTCAAGGAAACCATTTTAAGCACTTGGAGGAGAGGAAAGTGATCAGGAACAGTCAACATGGATTCAGCAAGGGCAAGTCATGCCTGACCAACCTGATTGCCTTCTATGATGAGATAACTGGCTCTGTGGATATGGGGTAAGCGGTGGATGTGATATATCTTGACTTTAGCAAAGCTTTTGGTATGGTCTCCCACAGTATTCTTGCCAGCAAGTTAAAGAAGTATGGATTGGATGAATGGACTATCATGTGGATAGAGAGCTGGCTAGATTGTCGAGCTCAATGGGTTGTGATCAACAGCTCGATGTCTAGCTGGCAGCCGGTATCAAGTGGAGTGCCCCAGGGGTTGGTCCTGGGGCTGGTTTTGTTCAACATCTTTATTAATGATCTGGATGATGGGATTAATTGCACCCTCAGAAAGTTCACAGATGACACTAAACTGGGGGGAGAGGTAGATACGCTGGAGGGTAGGGATAGGGTCCAGAGTGACCTAGACAAATTGGAGGATTGGGCCAAAATAAATCTGATGAGTTTCAACAAGGACACGTGCAGAGTCCTGCACTTAGGAAGGAAGAATCCCATGCACCACTACAGGCTGGGGACCGACTGGCTAAACAGCAGTTCTGCAGTAAAGGACCTGGGGATTACAGAGGACGAGA